AACACATATCATTCACGGAGAATCATTCAATTTCAAAACTATGCTCTGATACCACATGTAAGTTCTATGACTTTCTCATACATCAATTATAGAAAATTAAAGGATCTTTGAAATTCATGATACTCACATAATAATAAAAAAGTGTGTACCTTTCTCCATAGTAGAAAACTCCTTTGATCCTTTGAGTGCTTTGATCTTCTTGAGAAGAGAACCAAGATTTCACACCCTTTGACTTTTCTTTCTACTCTCTCTATCTTTCGTGATGGCTAGGGTTTGAGAGAATACTTTCTGTCAGGGGTATGGACCTTGCCTCACATTAGTGAATATTTATAATCCCCAAAGATTGTTATTTCCATCAAATAACAATTATTCTCATAAATGCTCCATTAAACCCATTTATGATTTAGTCTTTAATTATTTAATTATTTATTTATTAGTCCCTTTATATATTACATATTTCTCACATGAGACATAATTATCTTACATATGAGGCTCTACTTGAACAGAAACCTTATATACTCTTTCCTCTTGGATCAAATTGGATCTCTGCCCAAAGGAACCCCCCTTTCAACGCTACTAAAGTTCCTAAGAAATTCTTAGACCCCCAATCCTCTCAACACCACTAATTAACAACTCACTCAACATTATAAATAGTTAGGAATAATATAACACTATTACAACTTATAGTGTTACAATAAAGCTTTTAAAAATATTTCTAAAATTATATCTAAACAAATTAGATTGATTTGAAATAGTGCTAAGAGATTTTATTTTATTTTTTCTAATTGCGACGAGAGTCGCCTTGAATATTCTCAATTTGTCTCATAAAAGTGTACCAATTCTTGGTATCATGGTATAAACCATATGAAATATGTACCAGTTTTCCTTATCACCTAACATTACCCTTGGCCTTTGGAAGGTTGCGGGGGAAAGTAAAGTAGTTTTGTGTGGTGAATTTATTTATTGATATAATTTTGTTTGGATAAACTGTTTTTTTTTAAACACTTCTAAAAACTGGGAAGAAAAATTAAAATAAAAGTTTTATAAGCTAAAATTAATATATACATAAACTAATTTATAGAAACTCATTTTTATAGTGTCTCCAAAAAATTTACAAACTAGCTTGTGTATAAGCTAGTTTTAATATAGAGAATTTTGTTTTATTTTTCCTTCCTATGACCTGTTTGGATAAAATTCTCTAACTAGAAATACTTTTAGGAGAAAAAAAAATAAAAATAAAATAAACTTATCCAAAAACTAAGTTTATACATAAGTTAATTTGTAGAAGTTCTTTCATATATTTTTTCCAAAAAAATTACACTATCTTATGCATAAGCATAATTTAGTTTTACTTTAAGAAGGTATTTATTTTAATTTTCCTTCTTGTTTTTATGTCCTTAAAGTTCTTTTTATAGAAGTTTATCCAAACGGTCCCCTATTTCTTTCCTCCAAGAAGTGTTTTTGGAAAAGTTTATTGATATATGACTTGTTTGGACAAGCTTCTCAAGAAGCTCTTCTAGAAGAGAAAAATAGGAAGAAAAAAATAAGTTTATCCATAAACTAAAACTAGCTTATGCATGAGTTAAAAATAAGATTTTGGAGAAGCTAATGAGAGGTTCTACAAATTAACTTATGCAAAAGAAAATTTTAACTTATGGAGAAGTTTATTTCATTTTTCTTTTGCACTTTTCTCTCCTAAAAGTGTTTGTGAAAAAGTTTATCAAAACAAGCTCATATGCCCATAAGCTCTTCTAAAGTTCAAGGGTGTTAAAGAGCCTAAGAGATCCACATCTAGGATGCATAGTTTAAAGGATTATGTCATCAATCCTCTAGTTATTGAACCATTGTGTACGCTGCCACTTCTTTCTCCTGAGTGTGCATGAAAATTTGTTTTTGCTGTTGGAATATAAATAAAGTCTTACATCGTTAAAATAATAAAAGAAATAAGTTTGTAAAACCACATATACTCTAATGATTAGAGACCTTTTGGGTGATAAGTAAAAGTAAAACCGTAAAGGTGTAAGTCTAAAGTGGACACTATCTTACCAATATAGAGTGTTATGTATAAATAACGAATGTTTTTAAAATTGGACAGATCGTTGAACTAGTCTAAATACTGGTTCAATGTGTGACATACTCTACACTTTGTACACCTATACTCATAAATAAATAAATCTTTGATGGATCTATGGAAACCTTAACATAAAAGGAAAATTGTTCGCAAATTGCCTCTAAGGACAGAGGAAATCTGTACCGTCCCAGTCAGATCCCGATCTAATACCCTTTACAGGTTTTGATCCGATGAATCTTGAATATGGGTCTTCTTGGTCAACAGGCGATCTAACCTCTCACATGGGTAAGATTAGTCGGACCGTGATCTCACCCACCCCCTAGACAAGCTCGGCATGGATATGGTCGGCCAGGGTGCGCTCAACCATGGTGAGATCGACCAGGTTGTGCTCGACCATGAAGAGATCGGCTAGGCTGTGCTCGGCCATGGTGAGATCAGCCAGGCTGTGCTTGACCATGGTGAGATTGGCCAGGCTGTGCTCGGCCATGATGAGCTCGGCCAGGGTATGGTCGGCCAAAGTCCGAGTGGGTCTCACCCTTTGGACTGGTCCGAGAATCAAGGATAAAAAGCCGATCTTTGATAATCAAATATTCCTAAGGAAAATTGTTATGGAAATCCTCGCGCTCACAAGGCCCAGGTGGCCCATGAACAGAAAAGAATAAAACCTAAAACCCTAGAGTTAATAGGGAAGATTACACTTTTGAATGCTCTGGCTTTAAGGCTTAACCTAGGAAGAAACCCTAGTCCGCCCTTTGGCCGGAACATTTTGGCGCCCACCGTGGGGCTACGGTGAAACTTTTCCTTCGCCCCAAGTAACACAGAAGAACCCGCACTTTACTATGGCGAGAGGCGGCACATCGAACAACGACTCACAACACCCTACCATGGAGGAGATGATGGCGCTGATCAATGGCTTGAGAGAGGAGAATGCACGATCCAGGGAAAGGGAAGAGGTTATTCAGAGAGAAAATGAGGAGATCAAGAGGCAAGCGGATGAGATGCAGGCTATGATAACAGCCAATACTCGGACGGCGGCGGAAGATGTCATGATGGAAGTCCCTAGGGATTTCTGACCTTTCTCGGAGGCCATAGAGGCCGAAATCATCCCGAGGGATCATCGGGTCCCCAAGATGGAACCTTTTGATGGAACCCAGGATCCTAGTCAACACTTGAAGAATTTCCGAGTACAAATGCTGATTTGTGGTGGGAGCATAGAAATTCGCTGCAAGCTATTCATGGGCACGCTCAAAAAAGCAGCCCTTGATTAGTTTAGTGGTCTTCTTGACCGATTAATCACCGACTTTGACGTTTTTAGTCGGCTTTTCATGGCGCAGTTTGCTGCCAACAAGAAGAAATCACGGATCATGTCAGACTTGTTTGATCTCAAACAGCAACGCGAGGAGTTGTTGAAAGATTTCTTGCAAAGGTTCAACGAGGTTGCGTTGAGGATAGCATCCTTGGACGAGAAGATGGCGGTCATCGCCTTTCAAAAGGGACTAAGGTCAGGTGATTTCGATGTCGCACTGGAAAGAGCAAAGTGTTAAACAATGTCGAAGGTAAGAGCTTTCACCTTGAGCCATATAAAGACGGAGGAAGGACATATCAATAAAAGAGTAGCAGAAAATCGAGAAGGTTTTTTATCAAGTGTACTCTTTTCCTAGCTCAGTATTTTATCCCTATAAAAGTGTGAAAGGGTTTTTTACTGAGAAGGTTTTTAACGAGGCACAAGTAAGCAATAAATATCAAATTTTCAATTTGATATATATGGTTCATGGTTCAGACCAAACTCGTGATTGATCAGTCAAAATCCGACTGGGCGAGTATAAATAACCTGAAGACCAAACTCATGATTGATCGGTTAAATTCTGACTGGGCGAGTATAAATAACTCGAAGACCAAACTCGTGATTGATCGGTTAAATTTCGATTGGGCGAGTATAAATAACTCGGAGACCAAACTCTTGATTGATCGGTCAAAATCCGACTAGGCGAGTATAAATAACTTCCGATCGTCTAACCTCTCACATGGGTAAGATTAGTCGGACCGTGATCTCCCCCACCCCCTAGACAAGCTCGGCATGGATATGGTCGGCCAGGGTGCGCTCAACCATGGTGAGATCGACCAGGTTGTGCTCGACCATGAAGAGATCGGCTAGGCTGTGCTCGGCCATGGTGAGATCAGCCAGGCTGTGCTTGACCATGGTGAGATTGGCCAGGCTGTGCTCGGCCATGATGAGCTCGGCCAGGGTATGGTCGGCCAAAGTCCGAGTGGGTCTCACCCTTTGGACTGGTCCGAGAATCAAGGATAAAAAGCCGATCTTTGATAATCAAATATTCCTAAGGAAAATTGTTATGGAAATCCTCGCGCTCACAAGGCCCAGGTGGCCCATGAACAGCTGTGCTCGGCCATGATGAGCTCGGCCAGGGTATGGTCGGCCAAAGTCCGAGTGGGTCTCACCCTTTGGACTGGTCCGAGAATCAAGGATAAAAAGCCGATCTTTGATAATCAAATATTCCTAAGGAAAATTGTTATGGAAATCCTCGCGCTCACAAGGCCCAGGTGGCCCATGAACAGAAAAGAATAAAACCTAAAACCCTAGAGTTAATAGGGAAGATTACACTTTTGAATGCTCTGGCTTTAAGGCTTAACCTAGGAAGAAACCCTAGTCCGCCCTTTGGCCGGAACATTTTGGCGCCCACCGTGGGGCTACGGTGAAACTTTTCCTTCGCCCCAAGTAACACAGAAGAACCCGCACTTTACTATGGCGAGAGGCGGCACATCGAACAACGACTCACAACACCCTACCATGGAGGAGATGATGGCGCTGATCAATGGCTTGAGAGAGGAGAATGCACGATCCAGGGAAAGGGAAGAGGTTATTCAGAGAGAAAATGAGGAGATCAAGAGGCAAGCGGATGAGATGCAGGCTATGATAACAGCCAATACTCCGACGGCGGCGG